CCTCCCCGGGCCTCCGGGCGGCGGCTCCCAGGGCCATTCTCGGGGGGACCCCACGGCCCCCTGGAGGGTTTGGTTCTGGGTCGCGAGGGCAGACCTCGGAGGGGCCACACGCTTCTCCAGGCCGTTTCCTCTGAGCTCCAGGCAGAACGCTGGGGCATGGAGGTGAATGGGCCGCCTGGCGGCCCTGCTGTAGGAGGCCGGTCTGCAGGTGCCATTACTCGGTGCAGTGGTGCGACGGACGTGTGAGCTGTGGGTGCGCCCAGAGGAGCCTGGGGCGGGCGCGTTCATTCACTCATTAATTCATGCGGCGGCTCTGTCGAGCGCCAGCTAAGGGGTGATAATGACGTTGAGCAGAAATGACAGAAGACTTTCAGGTTAGATCGGGAAGGTTAGAACTTCCTGTGGTAGAGAACAGTGGAATGACAGTGCAGCGGCCACACGAGAAGCAAATGAACTGTGCCTGAAAACCTGAGCAGAACTTTATTTTATGACTGGCTGTATCATAGCTTCTTTGTTTGCTAGTGGCTGGAGCAACATCGGTGTCAAATTGTAAAGGGACTTGACCTTTGTGCTAAGGATTTTGATTAGCAAAGGATTTCGAACAGAACAGTCAATAGTCTTATTAAAAAGTCATATAAATATTTTTAGAAGATGACTCAGGCTGCAAAAGAGAAGGAAAGAAACAGGGGGAGAAAGCTGCTTGTCTTTATAATACCCAGTGTCCTTCGCTGTGTTAGTGGAAGTGAGAGCCCCAGACTAGGGGAGGTGATACTCTGCTGCAATGCACACACCAGGGAACCCGCCTGTAACTGTTTCCGTCTGGGAGCTGCTCTCTACAGGGGACACAGATGAACTTCGGTAGGTCCAGACAAAAATGAGTAAGATGAAAAGGGAATCAGCTTGTTACTTGAGAGGTAATTGAAGGAACTGGAAATGTGTCATAAAGATCACTTACTCCGTGTGATTCCAGAGAGTAGAAAAATGGGACTGAGGGTGGGAAATTAAAGAGAAGAACACCGTAACTATAAAAGAGCACTTTCTGAAGACTTCGAAGTCCGCAAACAGTTGATTGCTTTATTCAGACATCATTGTGCACCTGCTTTGTGCCACATCTCTGATATATTCAAGTTGGGGACACAGATGGGAACAGTTTGCACGTGGCTCAGAGGTAACCTAGAGGAGAGAGTGATTAATTTCTGGGGTGCACAGTACCAACATGATTAACACCCCTCACTTATCTGCTACTCTTTCCCGATCCAGGCCACTGGGCACCAGCTACACGGGACTTGCTGACCTTGTGGTGTTCTTGCCTCAGGGCATTGGCACCTACCGTTCCCTCTGCCCAAGAAACCCTCTTCCAGATGTCCACGTGGCCACTGCTTTCCAGTCTTTATTCAGTGTCACTCTTTCTGCAAGGGTTCCATGACCACTCGTTTTAACATACATCCTACCCCAAAACCACGCTCTCACCACAGCACTTACTTAGTGTGCTGTACAATTGCTTTTCTGTGCGTCATCCTGTGAAGTCTTGGCTCCCGGCTGCACCCCCATTGTCTAGAAAAAGGGCTCTGCACAGTATGGGCGTCTGGTAAAGACTTGCCGAGTGAGTGGTTAACTGAGTGAGTGACACAGAGCTGCTGCTCAGTAATCAGGTATTCAAGAGGTGTTGGGATTTGAGATTTTTGGAATATATAGAGAGTATCCTGCCATTTACTAGCCCGTTCTCCTGTCACTGGGCCTTTGGGTGGCATTATTTCTATGAGCACTTTGTTTGTTTGTTTTTTAAAGTCACCTCGATTTTATCTATCTATTTATTTATTTATTTATCTATGAGCACTTGATATATTCCTCCTGTTCTTTTGTGGCTTGACATCTCATTTCTTTTTATTGCTGAATAATGTTCCATTATTTAATGTATCACAGTTTATCCATTTAACTATTGAAAGACATCGTGGTTGCTTCCAGTTTTTTGGCAGTCATGAAGAAGACTGCTGTCATCATGTGTTTGCAGATTTCTTTGTGGGAATTGCTGGTAAGACTTGTGTTTAGTTTTATAAGAAACTGCCAAACCACCTTCCAAAGTGGCTGTACCGTTTTGCGTTCCCACAGCCATGAATGAGCACTCTCGTTGCTCTGTGTTCTCCCAGCGTTTGGAGTTGGCAGTTACTTGGATTTTTATCTATTCTAGTAAGCGTGCAGTAGCATCTTTCTGTTTTAATTTGCAGTTACCTGATAACATGATTTGAGTGTAGTTTAATGTGCTTATTTGCCACTCAGATGTCTTTTGTGATGTCTGTTCACATCTTTTGCCCATATTTTAATTGTTATTTTCTTTGCATTCTCTTTGTGACCTGTTTTTATCCCTCCCCTTCAGTAATCAAGACTGAATCAAGCAAATCAGAACTGAAAAAAATCTTGATATTATTTAATATTCTTTTTTATTCCATAGTACCGTATTTTATTACTTTAGTGAGTACTTAGTGTTCCATAATAGGGGTATACCTTAATTTTTTAGTACTCCGTTTTTGGAAATTAAGGGTTTCTGTTTACATTTTTGATGCTATAAACTACACTTCATTGAGCATCTTTGCAGGTGGATCTTCGCACAGATCTGTGCACATTTCCTCAGGATAGACTCCTGATAGCTCCGGGCCCACACCTAGGTTTACATTACCAGTAGCAGTTTACGTGGACTTTGTCCAACCCCAATGCTGCATGTCACCATTAAAAAAAATTAAGTGTTTATCAGTTTGATGCATGAAAGGGTGTTTTCTCCTTGTTAGTAATCTTCTGCTTGTTTGCTTTTTGTAGCAAGGTTGAACGTTTTTCTATGGTTATTGGCTGTTTTTAACACAGTTTACCCTTGAGCAGCGCAGGGGCTAGGAGTGCCGACTGACTCTCCACGCAGTCGAAACTTGATGTGTAAGTCACAGTGAGCTCTCCGTGTCCGCGGTTCCCTGTGTCCACAGTTCTGAATCAAGGATTCCACCAACCACAGATAGTGTAGCACCACAGTATTTCCTGCTGAAAAAACCCCCGTGTCAGTGGACCTGTGTGGTTCAAACCATGTTGCTCAAGAGTCAGCTCTGCCCCAAGTCAGCCCTGGCCCCTGTCAGCTCTTACTGACCTGCAGTCTGTAAACGAGCTGATCAGATCCCAGTTGTTTGCCTTTGACTGTGTCCCTTTTCCTTTTTTGTGTGGGTGGAGGGTGTTAGTTTCAGTGTGGAGAATGGATGGACGAAGACAGGAGATGCAGCAGGCGTTTGCGTTGTAGGCAAGAGATGTGAGGAGGTGCGCAGAGTCCGTGCGGTGGTGGCAGGGAGGGGACATTGGCCGGAGAGATGTAGGAGTGAGGGTTAGTAGGGTTTGTGAGTGATTATGGCTTTGGAGGACGGAGAGGATATCAAAGACCGCTCGACTCTTGTCTTTGCTCCGTTTTGCTTGGTGGGTGGGGAGTTTGTGAGGGACAGCAGGTTGACGGTATGGAAATGCAGAGCTTACATTCAGTTTTAGGTCTGTTAGCTGTCAGGTGCTTTCAGGACATCTAGGACGTTAGAGCTGTTTAAAGGCATGAGGTAAGCAGCTCCAGAGCTCAGGACAGAAGCCTGGACTGGAGAGGTGTTCTTTATTCCCTTCCTCCCCGCCTCCCCCAGCCCCCTCCTCCCTGCCTTTCCCCCATCCATCCATCCATCCATCCATCCAGTTTTACTGAACATGGTAAGTATGTTCTGTTCGAGCCACTGTACCAGGCCCTGGGGATTTAGCAGTGATCAAACCAGACAGTCCCGTGCCTTTATAACCTTATGTTGGGGGTGGGGCAAGAGTGGTAATAACAGATAGGTAATGAAGACGTCGCTGTGGCCTTTCCTGTCACCAGGGGTCTTGGCATTTTCACCTCATTGTCGCCAATGCCGACAGTAAACAGAATGCTCACGTTGTGCTGTTGTGTGACGTTGTGTTTTTCAGGGAGGAATTCATACAAGTGTACAGTGCGGGCTGCAGTATGGCCCTTTGGCCTTCATACTTGGTGAAAAAACAACCAAAAAACTGACGGAGAACAGCAGAGTGATAACTGTAGATGGCAATTTATGTTCTGGAAAAGGCAAGCTTGCGAAAGAAATAGCAGAGAGACTAGGTAAGAATTTCTGCCGTGCAGAATAACAGCTTTTTCTGGTACACAGTTACTTACTTGAGTTTGGTTTTACTTCAATATTGAATAGGTAGAACTGGGCCTAAGGTAGGTATTTCATAGTCTGGGGGATACTTACTGGAAGAGCTGTTTTGTCTTGTTTAATGGAGGTGCTGGGAATAGAACCCAGGACGTCGTGCCTGCTAAGCACGTGCTCTACCCCTGACCTGTACCCTCCCCACTGGAAAAGCTGTTTTCTGTCTTCTGGATTTGCACAGTTTTAGAAATCCATGCTGGTTGTCAATGTGAGTTGGAATTTTACCTTGATGATGTAAGCAGAGCACTTAAACGCGAGCAGTTCCTTGATTTTGCCGCCCTCACTGACAGACTTACAGACGGGTGAAGTCCGCAAGCAGCTGCTGTCACACGGCCGGTTGCTGCGAGGCCAGGCCTCGCGCTTCCTCGCTCCGGGAGCAGGCGGCGTCCGTCGCCCGTCCTCCGTATCTGACAGGCCGTGGCCCACCCGCGCGCGGCGGGCGCCCGAGTTGTGGGCGGCTCCCCTCTCAGGCGGAGGGCACAGTGCGGCCCTTTAGCTTCATGCTGCCCGCACACGAGGGTTTGGGACCTGTGTCTTCCGTGTCTCGTGTGTCCCTGTTACACTCCAAGAGCGCAGGCCTTCGCCGACCGGCCCAGCGATGCTCTTCGGAGCAGCCCCCGCTGCTCGCGAGGGGGCGTGAGGCAGCCGCGGAGTCTGATCAGGTGGCTTCTCCCCGCAGGCCTCAGGCACTTCCCGGAAGCAGGGATCCACTATGCGGACAGCACTACTGGGGACGGAAGAGCCCTGGACCTGCAGTTCGGCGGCAACTGCAGTCTGGAGAAGTTTTACGACGACCCGAGAAGCAACGACGGCAACAGCTACCGCCTGCAGTCCTGGCTGTTCGCCAGCCGCCTCCTGCAGTACGCGGACGCGCTGGAGCACCTGCTGAGCACGGGTGCGC